CACTTTATTTTTGTTTTTTGGTAACTTTCATGGATCCAATCACCGCTAGTCTTGGATCCCCCACCGAAATCCCAGTTCCCGAACTGCTAAACTGCAGGAGACTCCCTAGCAGGATCATAAACCGTTTTCAACTTGGTAAATGGAAAACGGTTTGGTTTCCAACACAAGTGGCCCACACAACTCTGTGCTTTTTTACCTTAAAAGGGCGCAGTCCCCGCCCGCGCCCCGCCCACCCAAGACGGCCCCGCCCACCCAACCCTGCCCCTGGGCTGCCCGGGCTCTTCGCGCACGCGCAGTTTCCTGCAGTCCCAGAAACTGATCGTGTTGGGGGAAGGTGACGGCGCCGAGCGTGAGTGTCCCTCTGTGCAGATTAAACCTGCGCACCCTGTTTCCCATGTCCGCAGCCGGTCCCCGGGGGCGCTGCGGGCCTTAAGACCCCCGCACCGCGCCCTCCACCCCAGGTGAATACAGGCCTCGCGGTGTGGGTCCCGAGTCGCTTCCCGTTGGGTTGAAGTCGCTCGGAGGCTGCTCCCTGTCCCCGGCCTTTAGCGTCTTCCTCCCGCTTAAAACCCTTTCCCACGCCGGGCGTGGTGGCTCACGCCTGTAATACTAGCACTTTGGGAGGCTGAGGCGGGCGGATCACCTGAGGTCAGGAGGAGTTCAAGACCAGCCTAACCAATATGGTGAAACCGCTTCTTAAAAAAAAAAAAAAAAAAAAAAACCCCTTGCCCGTCCCCTCCTCCCGCCACGCACTTTTTAAAGTTCTCACCCTCGCGGTGGATTCCCGCCCTGGGCGACCCCCAGCCTCGCCCCAGTGGGGCCTTGGAGGGCAGCGCGCAGCGCCGGTCCCGGGGAGGCGCGTCCTCTGCCTGGTTCTGGGCTCCTGCAGACCCCACCCCTATCCGAAGGCGCCGTCGCCCCTCACCTCCCTCCTCCTCAAGCCGGGGCCTGCCCTGTGACACCGGTCTTCTGGCCTGCCCAGCTCCACCCCCTGGAAAATGCGCCCCTCCAGGATGCAGTCGTCTTACTCCAAACCCTCCTGTGAATGTGTGGGCCGAGGGGATCGGCAGACAGAGAGGGACTGTCGGAGTCCAGAAGGGCAACAGGGGATCCTAAGAATCAGGGGCACATGGTTTTCATTAGGGAGGGTTTGCTGTGGGGGGTGTCTATGGGCGGGTGCCACTCAAGAGGGAGTGGTGATCAGGGTCCCAGAGTTAGCGATTTTTCCAAGAATCAGAGTGAAATACAGTACACTGACCCGCAGCCCGAAGCCTTACGCTGGGACTGCCCTTAGGAACATAAAGCTGCCACTTTCTTGCGGCCAGGCCAGTGATCTCTCCCTGTTTATTCTAAGATAGCAGAGGCCCAGAGTCACAAGGCAGCTGGGGAGCTGAGGGGCGAGGTCCTTGAAACCCACTGTGGAACACGGATCTTTCTCCAGTGCAGAGGGGTCGCTGGGCTCTGGGAAGGGAGTTTGAGGATTCCAGCCCTGGTCATGGCAGGCAGACTTAGCAACTGGAGAAAGGAAGAGCTGTGTTCATCCCCGCAGGGCGCCCCTCTGCTCAGGAATGTGCAGTAGAGTGAGGTGAGCTACTGGAGTCCCTTTGAGGGAAAGGTGTTTTTCTGTCCACCCAACACACGTCTCACCCTATGCACACACTTCTGCCTTTCCCCGTCGTCTTCTCTAACATGGCAACGAGTGCTTCCCCAGGTGGGTGGCTGAGGGAGAGGAGGGGTTGGTCTGTGTCTCTTCTTCATCCCCTCCCTCAAGTCCTCTGCCTTCCTTTCTGCTGCTCTCTCTGTTCAGATCTCACTTCCTGCAGTCCTACTGTCTGTCCCACACAAGACCCAGGGATTTGGGTCTGTGAATAATATTCAAGCCAGTATCATTGCCAAGTGAGAAATCTCAGACCCCAGGACCTTTTCTCCATGTAGAGGTCTGGGTACAGAGAAGTTTCTCTTCTTTTTGCAGAGTTTAGGGTCTTCTATTGGCCATGTGGGTGCGCTCAGCCTCAGGCAGTGACCCCAAAGTCAGCCAGATGTGATTCTGGCTGAACTGATGCTTGCCCTTCCACCTGTTGGGTAAGCAGAGCTCCATGAAAGGCCTGTGGCTCTGCGCCTCAGCTGGTCCTGCTCAGCTCCCCTCTCAGGATGAATACCACCCCAAGGACAAACAAGACCCCGACATACATCAGTCCACCAAAGTAAAGGCCATAAAAATGGCCAAATATTTCATTTATTTTTAATTATTTACTTAATTTTTACTACACCCCCATTTTAGCAATACTGATATTTAATGTTGCTATTAGTGTTTACTGTTATTGTGACATAAGCTTTTCTGTCTTAGATGCTGATCTTATGTAACGTGACTCTTATAATTGTGCATAAACAATTTGGATGTTCATAAGATTAAGGCATTTTTCTATTTCTCATTTGTTATGCAAAGCAAAGACTAGACACTGTGGTTCATCTCTCATGAGAGCAAACCAGCAGACACCTGGGAAGCATCCATTGATTATGGTAGAGGTGCTCACCAGCCACCAACTGGGATTATTAAAAAGAGCAATCCAGTCTCCAGAGACAAAGGAGAGGGTTGAAATCATAGAAAAGCAGCAGAGCCACCGGGTCTCAGAGTTTCCCACGGGAACGCTGGGACTTACTACCAATCCCATGCGCGCACCCGGGGATTTTAACGTCTAGTGGGATGGTGGATTCCGAGTGTGGTTGGACAGGACTTGAACCCATGAAAGGCAGCTTTGAATGCTCTCCTGCCGGTGAGAAAACTGGAAGTGGATTCTGGGCGGGGGCTGTGGTCAGTGAGGGGCGGGGCTTGGGTATTGGGGAGGGCCAGGGTGGGGAGGGTGGAAGCCATCATGGAGTGGGGGCTGGGCAATGGGAAGGGGGTCGGAGGGTGGAACTGCTGTGGGGGTGGGGCCTGGGCAGTATGGGGTGGGTCCAGGGTGGGGTGGGTAGAAGCCACCGTGGGGTGGAGTCTGGGCAATGGAAAAAGGGTTGGAAGAGGGCGGGGTGGGAGGGTGGAACTGCTGTGGGGGCGGGGCCTGGACAGTGTGGGAAGGGGCGGGGTGGGAAGGGTAGGAGCCGCCATGGGGCAGGATCTGGGCAATGAGAAAGGAGTGGAAGAGGGCAGGGTGGGAAGGTGGAAGCTGCTGTGGTGCAGTCTGCGCTGTGGGAAGCGGGCAGGGCCTGGAACGGAGCGGGTCTGGGCTCTCTACTCCTCTTGGACCCAGGGCATTTTCTGCTCTGCCAGCCTTTCTCTCCACTAGGACTGGATCAACAGCATTGCACTGCTGAAAGAAAATTTCAGCTAATTGAAATTAGGCGGGGGTGCTTCATGAGTATTTTCGGTTAATAAGCAGGGATGTTTCCTGCTTATTTTGAATTAATACAGCATTTCAAATAATTTAAGGCAAAAGAACAGAATTGTACTGGCCCACTTACTTGAAGGCTAAAGTTTTTTTATTCTTACATTGAAAACGATTTAAGTGAAAAACTCATTTTGTTTCCAGGTGGAGACAGGCATCCCACCATTGAGAGGATCACAACTCAGCCCAGGGCACCAGGAGGGGTGCAGGGGCATCAGCAGATGGTCCCTGTGGGGCTGTGGTTTCATCCTGGAGCTGGCAGTTAGAACCGTTTAATTAATCCAGGACCTGATTTGTCTGTATAGAGGATGAGATGAAGGTGAACTTTCTGCTTGTGCTGTGTTCAGTTTCATAGTGACAGGATCAGAACAACGTTTCCATTTCTGTCTTCCAGGCACCGGGATGGGAGACAGAGAACTCTGGGCTTAGGTCCAGGGATGTTTCGAGGACCCTGGACCAGGGTGTGTGGAGGAAGGGTATGGTCACCAACTGTTCCCTTAAAGATAAAGAGAGAATACTTTTTAAAATAGTGGAATTAGAGGGGAAATCTCAGAGATAATTTTCTAGGTTACCTTTGGTATTTTGGAGTATTTTGTGTTGTAGATCAAGAAGTTTTCAGATGTGTTTTTGAAGATAAAATGATAGTTTCGGGTGTTACCTTGTATGATATTGGGGTCTCATTGGGGCATGTGCATCACTAATGCCTTGTTTCCTTGTATTTCAATTGTTGATGTGTTACACAATTGTAAGGAAATTTTACATTTATATGGCTTTGAAAGAAACTTGGTGCATCTAGTTTTTTCAATTAGTTGAAGTTTTTTTTTTAGCAATGAATGATGTCTCTTGTATGTGACAGGAACAGTCAGTACACCCACAGTGAAAATTGAGTGCCCTTCAGTGCTTTTTTTTCTTTTTTTGTTGGTTGCTTTTTGAGACAGGCTCTGTCTCCCAGGCTGGGGTGGCGTGATCATAGCTCACTGCAATCTCAAACTCCTCGGCTCAAGCGATTCTCTCACTTCAGCCTCCTGAATAGCGGGGACTGTAGACATGCACCACCACACCTGGATAATTTTTAAATTTTTGGGTATAAATGGGGTCTTACTCTGTTGCCCAGGCTGGATTCAATGCCTCTCAAAGGCCAAGGTACCAGGGCAAGTGTGTTACTATTATTATAAGTTTAAAATTTGTCATATTCCAATTTTCAAATATATGTGTATTCATTATTTTTGAATTTCACTTGGTAGTATGTGTTGACAATGTAGAAGCTTATTTTGACCCTATAATCCTAGCAGATAGCAAAGGTTAAGCCTCCCCCCTGCATTGTTTCTTTTTTTTTTTTTTCCTCTGAGATGGAGTCTTGCTCTGTCCCTCAGGATGGAGTGGAGTAGTGCAATCTTGGCTCACTACAACCTCCCCCGCCGGTTCAATTCTCTGCCTCAGCCTCCCGAGTACCTGGGATTACAGGTACAGCCACCATGCCCGGCTAATTTTTGTATTTTTAGTAGAGACGGGGTTTCACCATGTTGGTTGTCTCCAACTACTGACGTCAAATGATCCACCAGCCTTGGCCTCACAGAGTGAAGTGCTGGGATTACAGGCATGAATCACCATGTCCAGCTGGAAATATTCTTTTTAAATTTCTTGTGACTATGTTGATTCTGCTTTAATGAACATTTTGTAAGCATTTAAACTCTGTGTATACAAAATGGATTCATGGCTTTCACCTATAATCAGATTCATCCCTACTGTTCTCAGTTTAGTGAAAGGATCCACAGTCAACTCATTTCTTTCCTTGAAATCATGGAAGTCCATGCCGAAATGGCTTTCCTGGCAACATAGGTACTTGGCAATATTGCATAGCACAGAAGTCCACCTTGCAAAAGCTCTCAGATCTCTCCCACACACTGTCTCTTTTGAAGCTGTGTTGATTATCTTTTCATATTCGTCTCTGTGCCCTGACAGGACATCCTGCTCATTTTAAACCAAAAAGTTGTTAAATATGCTGTTTTTTCTGTCTAAACAATTATATTTTCAATTGATCACCACTTTTCCATTGATGAAATCTTCCACATGTAGAGATGTGAGAGGCAAACATACTTCAAAGTGGAGGTGAATTCACAGATGTTGAAATAAAATTATTGCTAGTAGATATGATGCCGTTTAATATTTGTTAATCTAGTTTTACTTTGTGTAGTGTTCATATGAGAGAGAATATCCAGCCGGGCGTGGTGGCGCACGCCTGTAATCCCAGCACTCTGGGAGGCCAAGGCAGGTGGATCACTTGAGGTTAGGAGTTCAAGACCACCCTGGCCAACGTGGTGAACCCCTGTCTTTACTAAAAATACCAAAAAAATTAGCTGGGCATAGTGGCTCATGTCTGTAATCCTGGTTACTTGGGAGACAGAGACAGGAGAATAGCTTGAACCCAGGAGGCAGAGGTTGCGGTGAGGCGAGATCACACCATTGCACTCCAGCCTGAGTGACAGAGGGAGACTCCATCTCAAAAAAAAAAAAAAAAAAAAAAAAAAGAATGCCCTGTAAAATACCCTTAGAATTACCCTTGAGGTGAATATAAATGCAAATGTTTTCTGAAGACGATTTTACTGCCTTCTTTTCTATGACAGATGAAAATAAGTACTTAGAAAACAATTTTTATTTAATTAGCTCTTTGGTTTCTCTTCTGTTTCTTCAAGTACTTTCAGAAAGCATGTAAAGTGAATTCCAAATTACATTATATGTAGAAACGATTGACATAAGCATATTATGATGCCGAAAGTTTATCTCAAAGGTATTTGAGGCTGTGTCATTTCAAGAGTGGAGTGGGATAAAGGAAGAACAATGGAATTTATTTCTATTTGTAAAAAGTTACTGCTTTTAAAAACGCACGTTATTGGCCCAACTAATCGTAGGCCTTAGCCCTGCTGTGAAACTGAGCAGAAGGTTGGCGCCGTCCTTCCTCGGTGAATGGCAAATGGTCATGGAAAGGAGATTCCGCTGGTCAGCATGAAAGTACACTCCCTGCTACGCGTAGGTTTTGCATTTCACATTCTAGTTTGCATCTCATTCACAATTACAGGGTTTCTGTAAATGCTGAATTTTAATTGCAGAAACCTTCCTGGATTTGAACGCTGCCCCAGGACGACCTAGAGAGATCCCAGCTCCCAGCCCACTGAGTGGCTTCATCCTCACTGGTGGGTGTCCTCCAAAGCCCTGGAAACAGACTCTTGGGAGCCAGACGGAGGGAAACGCAGGTGCATACCGCCCCCACCCTCTCACACCGCCCCCTTTCCCTAAGCCCTCCCCACTTCATCCCTCAGGCCCCTCCCAACTCCTGGCCCCTCTGCAGGCCGGCTGCACGTGGTACCCTGCCCAGGCCTGGCCTGCAGGGGACCCAGCTCTTCTGGCAGATTCCTGGAGACTCTGGAAGCTGATTGCTTGGAGTGAAGGCCTTACATGTGTTTCCCTCTGTTTAGGTTAAAATTGGACTTCCCAGACTCCTGCACTTCCATACTTGATTTCTGGCAGTCCTTAGAGACATTTATTTACTTATTTATATTAATTAAGGGAGGGTCTGGTTCTGTAGCCCAGGCTGGAGTACTGTGGCAAGATCGTAGTTCACTGCGGTCTGGACTTCCTAGGCTCAAACGATCCTCACACTTCAGCCTCCTGAGTAGCTGGGAACACAGGTGTGTACCACCATGTCTAAATAGTTTTTTTTTTTAATGTTTAGTAGAGAGGAGGTCTCACTATGTTACCTGAGCTGGTCTCGAACTCCTGGGTTCAAGGGATCCTCCCGCCTCAGCTGGGATTACAGGTGTGAGCCATCGTTCCGGGTCCTACAGACCTAAAGGTCTCCTCATGGTTCTCTCATCCCCAAGTAAATTCAGAGGTGTCCATGAGATGTCAGGGGCCACTTCCCATTGGGTCACACAGGCTGGTCCTGCTCGCAGTTTTTCTGCCTTCAGCCCATGTAGACACCTTTCACCCCATTTCCTGCTTTAAACCCTTTATTCATTTCCACCCTGTGCCTTGTAAGGTCCTCTCCCTCGAGGTGCATTTACCCTTTGGGTCCCCTAAGCCTCACCCTTCATTGCTTCTGCTCAGCAGCACCACAGCTCCAGTGCAAGAGTCCTTGCCCTGGTCCTGGGATTACACAGATCCCACCCCTCCCCTGGACACCCGCCCATCTTGCTCTCATTGAGCCTTGCCCTTCTGCCCCGAAGGCCTGCCCCTCTTAAGCATGGCTTCCTCTGACCCAGCATCGAAAGAAGTGACTTGAGCCAGTCTGTTCACCTCCAATGTTCTTTTGTCCCAAATTCCATCCCCCTAGAAAATGTGCTTTCAGTTGGTGGACATCTTATTCCATTCCCTTCCCTATAAATACGTGGCCAAAGGGGATCAGGAGAAAGAGGGGGACAACCGAGAGGAAACAGAAAAACTGAGAAGGAGGAAAAAGGACGGGTGAGAACCATGAACAGATGGCAACACAGAGGATGGGTGGGGGTTTCAGACAGACACTGAGAGTGAAAGACAAAGCTGAGAAAGGGTGGGGTGGGGAGCAGCTGGAGAAATAGAGAGAAAAGCTGGGTCTCCAAAGAGACGAAGGACAGTAAGATAGGGAGAGGGGCAGAAAGGGGAAGCTCCTCAGGGAGTGGAGGAGAGAAGGAGGGATTTGGAGCCAGGGCAGAGAGGGCAGCGTGGTGCTGGGACAGCAAGAGGGGACAGCTGGTGGCAAGGAGAGCAGAGGGAGAACCAAAGCAGCACGAGGCCTGGGATCTGGGATGCCAGAGAGTGGGGACAGGGAGGCGTAGCAGGGAAGAGGGGATTTAACAGGGGGAGCAGATGGGGAGTAAAGTTGGGGAAGAAAGTGGCAGAAGTATGTGGAGATTGGGATTGAGACAATGAAAAGATTGGGCAGAAAGAGGAATAAGAGGTGAAGGAAGCTGTAAGAACGGAGCAGAACAGGTGGAAGAGAAGGAGTGGGGGGAATAAGGGGAGAAAGCAGGAGAGGAGAGGCACACAAAACAAGGAGCAGAAGCCAGGGAAACAGAAGGAGCCAGAGAGAGAAGGTGAGCTTGAGATATGTCCAGAGTGAGGAAGGGAGACACATGGGAAGGAGGAAAGAGGGGACCCTGGTTCCAGCGGGTGGTGAGTTGATTGATATGGGTGATTTAGTTGTGACATGTTGATTTCTGTCTTTATAATCTAACAGATTTTAAATATGTTTAAAATACTCAGATAAACACGAGAACTGAAAAACTCCATCTGTGAGGCTGTGCATGTTATAATCATGGCATCAGAGGTTAGCTTCCACTTGTAGTCTCTTTTCAGCCAGAGGGCAGTGACTTGACTCATTGATTTGTGGGTCACCCTCTTCTTCCCTTTCCCTGGGATGGGGTTGGGTAGGGGCGAGAATATGAGTAAACATAATACTGATTATGTACATTTAATATTATATAATGCTGATTATTGTTAATATAGTCAATACGTCAATATAGGCCAGGCACAGTAGCTCACACCTGTAATCTCAGCATTTTGGGAGGCCGACCTGGGTGGATCACCTGAGATCGGGAGTTCAAGACCAGCCTGATCAACATGGAGAAACCTAGTCTCTACTAAAAATACAAAGAAATTAGCTGGGCGTGGTGGTGCATGCCTGTAGTCCCAGCTACTCAGGAGGCTGAGGCAAGAGAACCACTTGAACCTGGGAGGTGGAGGTTGCAGGTAGCCAAGATCATGCCAAGGCACCCCACCCAGGGCAAAAAGGTCAAAACCCCATTCAAAAAAAAAAAAAAAAAAAAGTCAGTATAACAGTGTACACTCAGCATTTAATTGTGAACACGCAACACAGAAAACTGATCACCAAAATGTGGAGGAGCTTCTTCCCACCAGCAGTGCATTTTCCGTCCGACACTAACTTGATGATAAGTTGATGACCTTGTAGTTCAGCTCAATTCTGACACTGGTCCAACTCAAATTCAGATCAGATGCTGCTGGTTGGTCAGTTCCACAGGGCTGCCCCCACTTCAAATGCCAGTCACAAGCCGCGGGTTGTGACCTGAACTTGTGGGTGACCAACTATAAACTGGGGATTCCCTTGACTTCCTCCGCAGGTTGTAGTAATCTGCCAGGGCCCTTCACCGAACTCAGGAAAACACTTAGTTTCCTCATTTGTTATAAAGCATATTGCAGAGGACGCAGATGAACAGCCAGATGGAAAAGCTGTGCTAGGCAGTGATTCAAACCCAAGGAGAGTGTTAGGGAAGCATACTGACCGGGCCAGTCAGAGCACACAGCATCTGAAGTGACGGCAGTCTGCGACTGAGCTCTCAAGCTGTGCTGTCTGATTCTGTCTTATAGACAGTGTCAGAACTGAGTGAAACTGCAGGTCGCCCTAGCTGGGAGGCTACTGGAGAACCGGTCACTGTGGGGACAACACCACACATTTTGGTAACTAGAGGTAAAATATTCTCTGTGGAGTGTGAGAGTAACATGATGAGTTTTTTCCTCTCAACAGATCTCCAACGCATAATAAAGACTTTTTTTTCCTTCTACTCTTCCATCTTTAAACAAAAAATACTCTCAACTACATTTCCTTCTGTAATAAGTGCCTTTTAATGCTCCATTTAAGACCATAATGTACTAACACCTAGTTTTTACTTTGTCTTCAAAACTCAACAGTATAGAGACAGGATCTTACTATGTTGCCCAGGCTGGTGGCGAACTCCTGGGCTTAAGTAGTCTTTCCACTTCAACCTCCCAAAGTACTGGGATTACAAGTGTGAGCCACTGTGTCTGGCCGCTTTGTCTTCAGTTCTTGCTTAAACCTCTGAATTATTGCTTGAATCTGGCTTTTATACCAGCGTTCCACTGATTCTTCCTTTGTCCGTCATCAGTGACCTCCCCATTTCTTTTTTTTTTTTTTTTAAGACGGGGTTTCACCGTGTTGGTCAGGCTGTTCTTGAACTCCCGACCTTAGGTAATCCACCCGCCTTGGCCTCCAAAGTGCTTGGATTACAGGCGTGAGCCACCACGCCCGGCCTAACCTCCCCATTTCTAAATGCCAAGTTCATGTCCTGTCCTCATCTTTCTCTTCCTGTCAGTAGCATGTAGCACAGCTGGTCACCTCCTATTCAGTTGTCTTGGCTTTTATGACACCCCATTAACTCTTACAAGAAGACTGAATATGATCTATTCAGTCTTCTTGCCACTCGGATCACTCTCCACTTTGCTTTTCTGGTGTCTCCAGGACTTTCTGTTCTCTGAATGTGCAAGTGTTCATGGCTCAGTCCTTACACCTCTTCTTATCTCCATCCACACTCACTGCCTTTCCTTATTGTCTCATCTCATGGCTTTCTGCCCCACCTATTAATACAAGGCTCCATGTCCTTGCAGACCCTCCCCTGAGGTCTAGAATCCTGTGTCCACTTGTCTCCAAAACTCTCTGCAGGGATGTCCTTGCAGGCATCTCCATCTTCATATGTCTCAAAGTGACTTCCTGGCCAGGCGCAGTGGCTCTCGCCTGTAATCCCAGCAATTTGGGAGCACGAGGTGGGCGGATCACCTGAGGCCAGGAGTTCCAGATCAGCTTGGCCAACATGGTGAAACCCAGCCTCTACTAAAAATACAAAAATTAGCCAGGTGTGGTGGTGCACACCTGTAATCCCAGCTACTCAGGAGGCTGAGGCAGGGGAATCGCTTGAAACCAGGAGGCTGAGGTTGCAGTGAGCCAAGAATGAGCCATTGCACTCCAGCCTGGGCAACAAGAGCGAAACTCCGTATCATGAGTGAATGAATGAATGAATAAATGAATTAATTAATAAAATAAAGTGACTTCCTGAACTCTTCCAAACATGTTCACCGCTGCAGTCGTGCACATCTCAGCTGAGGGCAACCCTGTGCTTCCTGGGGCTCAACTGAACTTCCTGTCATGTTTTTTGTTTGTTTGTTTGTTTTTAATTAACTTTATTTTTTTTTTTTAGAGATGGGGTTTCACTATGTTGGCCAGGCTGGTCTCGAACTCCTGACCTCGTGATCCGCCCGCCTCGGCCTCCCAAAGTGCTGGGATTACAGGCGTGAGCCACCGTGCTCAGCCTCCCGTCATGTTTAAAATGCATAAGATATTACATTGTAAGTGTGTTACTTTGTAAAATGAAGAAAAAGTTATTCATTTACTTAAAACAGGTGAGGAAATTCATGGCTTCATAAATTCTTTTGAGGTATGGGAGAAAAATGTTTGAAAACCTCTGCCTGCATGACCTGCTCCCCTGGACCTCTCTGACGTCATCTCCTGCCTATGTCCTCCCCGCTCCCTCTGCTCCAGCGAAACAGGCCTCTTTCCTGTTCCTGGAGCTAAGGTTGCTCCTGCATCAAAGCTTCCATGTGGGCTGGCCCACCGCCTAGGACTCTCTGGCCCCTCAGCTACAAGTGACAAGCAGCCGTTCTTCCCTAGGTCTTTGTTCTGACATCACTTTTCTCTGTGGAAACCTTTGTGATGTCCCACAGCCCCCCATTTGACATTGCAGCCCCACCTTCCCCCCACCTCTGGTCCCTATTGCCTATTTTGTGTGATTCTTTTTGTTCCTTCAACATCCAGTCTGGATCCTGGAGAGAACAGGTTCCCAGCAGGAGAGCAGAGCCAGAAGGTGGGCTGTGCTGGGCTTGCCCCCTCAGTGGAGCTCAACCCTGGCTTCACATTAGAGTGCCCAGGCATTTTGCAGAAACTTCTCTTGTGCCCCGTTGATATATTTTCATTTAAATGTTTATTTTGTTTTTTTTTAAGAGTCCAGCCTGAGTAATATTTAAAGTTGACTCTATTCTGTATCCAGCATAGTACCAAGCCCTGTCTTTCGTTTCTGAAGGCTGAGCTAAGCCTGTGATCCACAGAGAGGTGAGGGGCTGTGCCGTGCGTGGGGTTTGGTCAGGGCAGGGTCTGTGCCCTGAAGGGGAGCTCAGTCCAGGCCAGCTCCCCACTGCTGCCTGGTGTGTGAGGCTTCTCCAGGAGGGGCGTGGGTTCTGAAGAAAGGGGCCGGAAACTCACTTGTTCTTCCTCTAGGAGTTTCTTGTCCCTATCCCCGCTGCTGCAGTAGGCCGCAGAGGACCGTATTTCCACAGGGTGCAGTCTTCTGTGTGTGTGATTGTGGCACATGAAGGGAATGTATAGATGCTAAGCCCTAACCAGCATATTTTGGATATTCAGCATTGACTCATAAAGACTCTTTCGTATTACCCAAGGAAGAAGTCTGGACGAAGAGGAAGAGGAAGGAGAAGAAGTCAGGGATGGCTCTCACTCAGGTAAAGTGATATTCCTGGTGGATTGTTCTTTTATTTCTTCCTGAAATGCTGGGCCTTGGAGTTGCGAATCTCTGAATCTGAAGCGTCCTGCTGGACACGTTTGCTGGCACTCACCCACACCTTCCCACGGTCCCTCTCCTCTCACCTAGATTCCATCTCGTCAGGACCCAGTGACATGAGCTTGGGAAGAGGCTGCACTGGGCATGGTCCTGGGAAGGGCTCACCCCAGACATGGGTGGAGACGGGGCATGAATTCCATGGTGTCAGGGCTCTTAGGCAGCAGGGATTGTTTAGGGGCCACATCTGGATGCACTGTCAGCTCTGTGTAAACCATGGTAACAAGCTGCCAGGTATTACCGTGCAGAAGTACCTGCTCACTGGTATAGAGTGAGAACACTAAGGGGAGAGCTTTCCTGCCTCATATTTATATTGCATTTCAAGTTGAACAAGTGAGTCACTATGTTCCCAACTCCAAACTCTTAAAGACTGGAAACAGAATGGAAAGTTTAGACACAGACGTCAGAGACAGATGATTCTTCCATTCATCATTTTAGTGTATGACATCAACGTAAATGTATAGCAACACAAGATTCATTAAACTAGTCTCAGAAAATCTATCTCACAGAGACTGTGGTGTTCTTACAAGAACCTTGGTCCATTAGGTATTGTATCAGATATATGAGCAGAACAACCTTGCCATTAGAGAGACTGGAAATGTGTTTTTGTTTTACCAGTTACGATTCAACATTCCATTTCTTTTATTGTAAATGTGTATATATTTGTTTGATAGTGAAACGATGCATTTATGTGCCAAGAGGTAAAGCGTCCCCTTACCTGTCCAGCCTTCCACCTTCTTGACATCTCAGCGGGGAGCCACTGTTCTCAGTTCTGTGGGAAGGGTCAGTGTGAGTCCCATAGAAATGTATTTTTACATCATTGTGAAATTTAAACAGATTCCTCAATGAATGTTTTGTGATATTTTAACCTGCAAGTTTCGAATGTTTACATGTTTTCATGTTAGGAAACAGGAGCTCACTTTTCTACATCCTTGTTGGAGCATCTGGGAATGAAGACAGGTGGATCCTTTAACTTTTACACTTTTATAAAGAATGCCACACAGGGTGCTGCATGGTGGCTCACACCCATAATCCCAGCACTTGTGGAGGCCAAGGTGGTAGGATCATTTGAGCCCCAGAGGTTGAGGCTGCAGTGAGCCATGATAGCGCCACAGCACTTCAGCCTGAGTAACAGAACAAGACCTTGTTTCAAAAACAGAAGGCCACACTGGCTGCCCGTGACCATGCCAGTTTCTCTACAGATATTGGAGGGTTCCTCCAGGTTGGGTGATTAAAGAGTGATCTCTTCTAGGGTGGTGCATTTGCTATGCTGCTAGATCTGGCAAGATTCTATCCCTACCCCAGGTGCAGAGGCACCCTCTCCCGCCAGTACCATGTAAGATTTCCCCTCATTACGCTAACTTGCCACTGTGTTCATTTTACATTATGAAAATCTGGGGATAATGCAACCATTGTATTTTCATTTTCTAATTCCTTTGAGTCTGAGTGGGTTGCCTTACTTTGTGAATGTGTATATATGAAATGAATTTTTATACTTTGCTCTGTTTTCAGGTTACAGGATAGTCATGACTCACTGTAGCCTTGACCTGCTGGGCTCAAGCAATTGCCCCACCTCAGTCTCCTGAGTAGCTGGGACTACAGTTGTGTGCTGCGACACCCAGCTAATTTTTTATGTTTTTGTGTTTTGTAGAGACAGGATCTCACTATGTTGCCCAGGCTGGTCTCGATCTCCTGGGCTCAGGCAATCCTCCTGGCTCTGCCTCCTAACGTGCTGGGATTATGGGCATGAGCCATCGTGCCTGGCTTGGTTTAATTATTTACATATGTACTGTTTTCTTACTTTTGATTATACATTATTCTACTGTAAAAAGAATCAATCTTTGCTCACCCCTTTCTCATTTATTTGTTCAGTTTATCTTGCTTTGGAAGGCCTTACGAAGTAAAATGGTTTATCACATGCCCTTTGTCTTTGACCCAGTTCCTGGCATATAAAGCTTCTAAAATCTGTAGTTTCCAAGTGTTGTGTTTTTGTATGCTGACGTATTGACTGATAGCTGGCAGCCTCTCACAAGCTTCAGGATGGGGCCTGGGTCACCAGAACATCCAAGGCAAGATTTGGAAGACTGGGACTTCAAACTCTGCTCCTCAGCTGCCAGGGAGGGGAGAGGCGATGAAGGTTAAGTTGATCACCAGTGGCCAGTGGTTTAGTCATGCCTACTTCATGAAGTTTCTATGAAAACCCAAAAGCACACAGTTCGGAGAACTTCAAGTAGGTGAACACATGGAGATTCCTGAGGGTGGCGCACCCAGGGAGGGCATGGAAGTTCACCCCCATTTCCCATTCCTCACTGTGTGCATTTCTTCATGTGTATTTGTTGTAATATCCTTTATAATAAATGGGTAAATGTACATAAAGTGTGTCCCTGAGGTCTGTGAGCCACCCTAGCAAATTAACTGTAACCCAATGAAGGAGTTACAGGAACTCTGATTAACAGTCAAAAGCACAGGAAAAGCAACCTGGGGCTTGCTATTGGCACCTGAAGTAGGACTGAACCCTCAACCTGTGGGATTTGATGCTGTCTTCAGGTAGATGGTGCTGAAATCGAACTGGGGTTGGAGGACACCAGGCAGTGTCTGCTGCACAACTGATTGCTTGCTGGTATGGGGGGAAACTACGTCTGTTTGTTTGTTTATTTATTGTTTTGAGACAAGGTCTCACTCTGTCATCCAGGCTGGAGTCCAGTGGTGTGACCGCAGTTCACTGCAGCCTGGATCTCCGGGACTCAAGTGATCCCCCCACCTTAGCCTCTGGAGTAATTGAGGCGACAGGCACGTGCCACCACACCCTGCTTGATTTTTGTATTTTTAGTAGAGACGGGGTTTCACCATGTTGACCAGGATGGTCTCGATCTCTTGACCTCGTGATCCACCCGCCTCGGCCTCCCAAAGTGCTGGGATTACAGGCGTGAGCCACCACGCCCAGCTTCCTGCTTGATTTTTTTAATAGAGATGAGGTTTCATTGTATTGCCCAGGCTGGTCTCCTGAGCTCAAGCAATCCCTCCTGCCTTGGCCTCCTTAAGTGCTGGGATTGCAGGCTTATTAAGCCACTGTGCCTGGCCACATTTTAGAAGCATTTCTGATAGTATAGTAGGAGAAACAATTTGATTTTTCTAGAGAATGTGTCTCATGCATTTGAATTTGTGTGTGCACATTGGTATTTAGTTGATCATTTGATACTATTTATTTTAGATTCAGGGGGTACACATGCAATTTCTTACGTGAGTATATTTTGTGATGTTGAGGTTTAGTCTTCCCAAGATCTCATCACCCAAGTAGTGAACATAGTAGCCAATAGATAGTTTTTCAGCCCTTCCCCTCTTCCTTCCTGTTCCTTCTTGGCGTCTCCAGTGTCTACTGTTCTCATGTTTGTGTTCGTGTGCATCCAGTGTTTAGCTTCCGTTTTGAGAACACACGGTACTTGCTTGTCTGTTTGTGCATTAATTCGCTAGGGGCAATGGCCTCCAGCTGCATCCATGTTGTTGCAAAGGACATGATTTTGTTTTTATGGCTGTATAGTATTCCACAGGGTATATGTCTACTATATTTTCTTTATCCGATTCGCTGTTGATAGGCCCCTAGGTTGATCCCATATCTTTGCTATTGTGAATCGTGCTGCAATAAACGTATGAATACAGGTGTCTTTGATAGAGCAATTTATTTTCCTTTGGGTACATATCCAGTAATGGGATTGCTGGGTTGAGTTGTAAATTCAAGCGGCCCTCCTCCCTCAGCATCCCGAGGTATTGGGAGAAGGGGCATCAGCCACCGTGGCTAGCCTCATTTTCTCCTTTTTTAGTTTAGTTTACTGCATGGTCAAATCTCCCTTTTTTTTCCCAATTTTTTTTTTTTTAGACAGAATCTTGTTCTGTCACTCAGGCTGGAGTGCAGTGGCACGATCATAGTTCACTGCAACCTTGAACTCCTGGGCTCAAGCAATCTTCCCACCTCAGCCTCTTAAGTAGTAGCTGGAACTAAAGATGCATGCCACCATGCCCAGCTAATTTTTAATGTTTTGTTGCAGAAACAGGGTCTTACTATGTTGCCCAGGCTGGTTTTGAACGCACAGGCTCAAGCAGTCCTCTTGGCTTAGCCTCCCAAAGTCCTGGGATTACAGCCATGAGTCACCAGACCTGGACAAGTCTGCTTTTTAACCACCTCTAGTGTGTTTCTCTTTCTTTCTTTTTTTTTTCTTTTCTTTTCTGAGATGGAGTCTCTGTCGCCCAGGCTGGAGTACAGTGGCACAATCTCGGCTCACTACAACCTCCACCTCCCAGATTCAAGCGATTCTCCTGCATCAGCCTCCTGAGTAGCTGGAACTACAGGCACGCGCCACCAAGCCTGGCTAATTTTTGTATTTTTAGTAGAGATGGGGTTTCACCATGTTGGCCAGCCTGGTCTCGAACTCCTGACTTCAGGTGATCCACCTGCCTTGGTCTTCCAGAGTGCTGGGATTACAGGTGTGAGCCACCGTGCCTGGCTCTAGTGTGATTTTCAGTTTAGTTATGTTTTTCAACTTTGGAATTTGTTTCTTCTTCATAGTTTTTATCTCTTTGTTGATAATCTCATGTTTGTTGTTTTTCAGATTTTATGAAGTCGTTTACAAGTACTGTCATAATACATTGAGCAGCTTTAGGAGTCTGATTGTTATTTCTTTGATAATACGTATGTCTCTGCCTCTTTAGTATTGCTTGGTGGTGATTTAATATGTTGCTGTGTGTGGTCCATGTTTCTTTTTTTGTTCTCCTGTTACCTCCTTTTGGGACCTCAACAATTCACTAATCAGCCACTTCTAGTTTTTGGTTTTAAACTTTGTTCTTAGTAAGCCTGTTACTTCAGTTCTGATATTCAGGCAAGACAGACACTTGTGCCTTCTCAGTGTCCTGAAAAGTCAGAACGTTACGAACCTTGTGTGGTGTTACAGAAGAAAAGAGAAAAAAGAAGTCAGAATGTTGGATGGATATCCCAGTACTTTCTCTCCCCAGGAGAAAGTGGAAGTATGCCGCATCATGCCAGGGTAGGGCCTTAGGTGAACAGGCGTTTCCCGAGCTCCAGACTCTGGTGTGGTTGCCAGGTGTCCCGCAAAGGCAATTTGGTCCATGTAGCATTATTAAATCTGTGTCTCCATGATGGAGGTAGTGTTTGGGACTTCCTGTGTTTAAGTGATTCTCCTGTCACAGCCTCCTGAGTAGCTAGGATTACCAGTGCCCACCACCATGTCCAGCTAATTTGTGTATTTTTAGTAGAGACAGGCTTTCACCATGTTGGCCAGGCTGGTCTCAAACTCCTGACCTCAAGTGATCCGGCGGCCCGCCTTGGCCTCCCAAAGTGCTAGGATTATAGGCGTGAGCCACACCGCACCCGGCCTGTTTTTGTTCTTGTTTTTTTTTAGATGGAGTCTCACTCTGTCACCTGGGCTGGAGTGCAACGGTGCCATCTCAGCTCATTGCAGCCTCCATCTCCCGGGTTCAAGCAGTTCTTCTGCCTCAGCCTCCTGAGTAGCTGGGACTACAGGTGCACGCCACCATGCCTGGCTAATTTTTGTATTTTAGTAGAGACGGAGTTTCACTGTGTTGCCCAGGCTGGTCTCGGACTCCTGAGCTCAGGCCGTCCGCCCGCCTCAATCTCCCAAAGTGCTAGGATGACAGGCCTGAGCCACCACACCCAGTCTCTGTGCAGTTTTCTAATTTGTTTTCATAGGTCTGGAAAGGTACTTTAATAGCATGGTATGTTTTCTGCTGGAATTGCTGGCTGTATCCTGTGTGTGTGTAATGAGAGCTACTAAAGGAGAAAGATTGTCTTCACTGTATTTTTATTAGTTCTCGTACTTAAATTATATCCTCTTTTGAGGTTGCGATGATGTCATCTGCTCTGATTCTCACCGATCCAGCTCTTGCTCTTTGTCCTCCTTTTTTCACCCACCCTCTTTCCTGGTCGGTGTTCAGGCGTACTCTGACGTGTTTGGTGGAACAGCCCCATTTCCTTCACCTTAGAGGAAGTGTACCCAGTGTGTACTGTTGATTATGATGTCTGCTGGGGTTTTCTTGTCTAGTATTAGATTTTTTCCCCCAAATTTCCTTTTTGGCATGATGTTTAATCATCCAATAATTTCTTCAAGTAAGTACTGCTATGATACATACTTTTAACAATCTAAATCAGGCCAGGTGTGCTGGTTCCCACCTGTAATCCCAGCATTCTGGGAGGCCAAGGAAGGCAGATCACTTGAGGTCAGGAGTTCAAGGCCAGCCTGGCCAACACAGTGAAACCCTGTCTCTACTAAAAATATAAAAATTAGCCGAGCATGATGGCACATGCCTGTAATCCCAGCTACTCAGGAGGCTGAGGCAGGAGAGTATCTTGAACCCAGGAGGCGGAGGTTGCGGGAAGCCGAGGTCACGCCACTGTACTTCAGCCTGGGCAACAGAGTGAAATTCTGTCTCAAAAAAAAAAAAAAATTAGTTTTATGTATTAGTAAGTTAAATTGTGTCTTAAATATTTTCTCTGACCTTAAATGTGTTCTACACTGGCACATTGATGAACTAACAGTAAGAGTCATAATGTATTAAGGGCAGAAATGTGTTTGTGTATGTAAAGACCTTTTACAAAGTTCCATGTTGTTATTCTTAAACTTATTTCAACTTTGCTCAGTTAGGTAATATACTGTCAATTTACTTTCTTTTTTCTCTTCATTTCTTTTTTCTTAAATTTGAGATAAAGTCTCACTCTATCTCCCAGGCTGGAGTGCAGTGGCACAGCCTGGAGTCACTGCAACCTTAGCCTCCCGGGTTCAGGTGATTCTCCTACCTCAGCCTCCTAAGTAGCTGGGATTATGGGCTCCTACTACCACGCCTGGGTAATTTTTGTATTTGTAGTAGAAACGGAGTTTCACCATTTTGGCCATGCTGGTCATGTCAGTTTACTTTTGATGGTATATTTGTTACTGATCAGTTTTATTCTTTAAGTTTCATTTTAATTTCTGGATGTCTGGGTGCAAGTGCTTGCTCTGTCATTTTTAGCTGTTTGACCTGAGGGGAGTTTCTTAGAGTGTCTCGGATACAGTTCTTTCCTAGTAAAATGGCAACAGATCTTTCTCATGAGCCATTGTGTTTTTATACAGATGAATACATATGCCGCATTTAGAATAATGCCATGCACATGGACAGTGTTCAGAAATATGTCATTGCTATTACTGTCACCATCAGTTTTTAGATTCTGACCTTTCTTTAAAGTCATGGTATTTGTCATCATTTCTTTTTTTTTTTTTTTTTTTTTGAGATGGAGTCTGACTCTGTTGCCCAGGCTGGAGTGCAGTGGTGCAATCTTGGCTCTGCAACCTCTGCCTCCTGGGTTCAAGTGATTCTCCTGCCTCTGCCTCCTAAGTAGCTTGGATTACAGGCACGGGCCACTACACCCGACTAAGTTTTGTAATTTTCATAAAGATGAGGTTCACCATGTTGGCCAGGCTGGTCTTGAACTCCTAACTTTGTGATCCACCTGCCTCGGCCTCCCAGTGTGCTGGGATTATAGGCATAAGCTGCTGCACCTGGCCTGCGTAATCATTTCTTAAGACATCAGTTCATGTGGATATTGAATATCATTTGGTATGTCAAACATAATATCTAACACTTCCATAGAGATACCCTTGTTTTCAGTTTGTTCTTTGTATGCTTATTGTGTTGTCCATAAAAACTGAGAAATCGACACTGGTATAGAGGATATCACAGCCTCCTAGTTAAAAGAATAATAAAACAGAATTAGGGAGACATGCCTTGCTCAAAAGTCCTTAATGTGTAGGAAAATAGGGGAAAAGCAGACTCAGTTTCTCCTACTTTGCTTCCATAATACAGAATACTTCTGTGATCTTGGATGTATTGGGTTTTCCTCCACACATCAAGTAAGCAATTCTGCAGTGGACACGAAATGCATGTTCTCATATTCGATTCCATTCTGACACTGTCTGTCTGGATGTAGGGTCAGCTCCCATAGGCTCAATCCCACAGCCGCGCACGCACTTTAATGCCAGTTGCAAACACAGGTTGTGGCCTGTGCTTCTCAGTGACCAGCTGTGAACTGTGAATTCCTATGACTCCCTCCTTGGAATCAATTAGTTTGCTTGAGTGGCTCACAGAACACAGGGAAACACTGTACTTCTGTTTACCTATCTATATCGAAGATGCTACAAGGCACACAGGTGAACATCCAGATGGAAGTAATCTATCAGTTGAGGTGTGGGAGAAGGAGTGAGGAGCTGGGATGTATTCTCGTGTATTCTGTCTTTTTTTTTTGAGATAGAGTCTCACTCTGTTGCCAGGCTGGAGTGCAGTGGCATGACCTCAGCTCACTGCAACCTCTGTGTCCTGGGGTCAAGCAATTCTCCTGCCTCAGCCTCCCGAGTACCTGGGACTACAGGCGTATCCCACCATACCCAGCTAATTTTTGTACTTTTAATAGAGATGGGATTTCATGATGTTGGCCAGGATGGTCTTGATCTCTTGACCTTGTGATCCCCCTGCCTCGGCCTCCCAAAGTGCTCTGATTATAGATGTGAGCCACGGCGCCTGGCTGTAGTCTGTCATTTTTGAGTTTTCATGGAGGCCCCATTACATAGGCATTGCTTCCATCATTGGCCATTGGTGATCAATTGAACCTTCATTCCCTCTGCCCTCCCAAAGGGACAGACACTTAGCCTAACCGAGCTTCATTCTTTCGAGTGACCACCCTCTGAGCCTTAGTTTGGAGACCACCCTCCATCCTGAAGCTACCCAGGTGCCTCCAGCCACCAATTATCCCATAAATGTACAGAAAGATACTTCACATTCCACTCTGCAGATTTCAAGTGAGCTCTTTTGTCAGGAGAGGGGGATGAAGACCAAATCTGTATGTCACGTTGTCACAATCTGAATCTGTCAGCCCACCCACTTCAGTCTGACTTGTTGTCATCATTTTCACCTCTTCTCCTTTTACGTGAAGTTTGGAACTCTCCCCTTAGCCACTTGGTGAAATGTGTTTTTCATTTTAGGTACGGTTGACATTCAGGGATGTGGCCATAGAATTCTCTCAGGAGGAGTGGAGATGCCTGGACCCTACTCAGAGGGCTTTGTACAGGGACGTGATGTTGGAGAACTACTGGAGCCTTGTTTCTCTGGGTGAGGATGACTTTCTTCCGGAAGTCAGGATCTGTTCTTGTCTGTCTTTGCATTCCCCTTCTCAGTCCCTGGAGAACCCCTGCATTGCTTGGCTGAGATAGAAGTCCTGTTGACTCTGAAATGGAAAGCTTAATAATGGCAAACCTGGACTTCAGTCTTCCCCTTTCTCAAATATCCTGCCTCCTTCGGGCTTCAGCATTTGAGGTTTCAGAGCTTTTGTATGCATAATACCCTGTGTGGGACTTTTGAAACGTCAGATTTCCTGTTTTCTGCCTCTCTGCTTTGGATTCAGTGGTTAGTGGAATAGAACCTTCTATGTGCATGTTACCATGTTTCCTAGGTATTCAGAAGGAGGCATTCAGTGGATGAATTTCTGAAGTTTTCTTAGATCCATTTGTAATGTCCTCTCATGTAAACATAGGGCTGGGATTCTGGAAAAGCCCTGGCACATTGTGATCCTTCCTTTTTATAAACAGGACTGTGTCATTTTGATATGAATATTATCTCCATGTTGGAGGAAGGGAAAGAGCCCTGGACTGTGAAGAGCTATTTGAAAATAGCAAGAAAACCAAGAATGCGGGAATGTGTCAAAGGTGTGGTCACAGGTAAGAGTTCAGATGGGCAGAGAGAAGGCCACTCATTAAATAGAGTGTGGGAGGCTGGGTGCAGGGGCTTATGCCTGTAATCTCAACAATGGGAAGCCAAGGCAGGCAAATCACTTGAGGTCAGGAGTTCGAGACCAGCCTGACCCAACATGGTGGAACCCCATCTCTGCTAAAAATACAAAAAAATTAGATGGGCATGGTGGCGGGCGCCCCGTAATCCTAGCTACTTAGAAGGCTGAGGCAAGAGAATTGCTTGAACCTCAGAGGCAGAGGTTGCAGTGAGCTGAGATCACGTCGCTGCACTCCAGCCTGGGCGACAGAGCAACACTGTCTCTAAGTAGATAGATAGATAGATAGAGTATGGGAAACTCTCTGCAAATGGGAAAGTTCTTTGGAAAAATAAGTTGCCTCAGAGACAGAGGCTGAGTCCTGATTGTGATGGAAACACCCTGTCATTTGGACTCTATGGCTCCTTTGGAAGGGTTTGCTTTCTTTCTTGGTCTGTCCCTCTGTATTTATTTCCATATGGTGCTCAGTTCTCAGTCCATGTAGATCAGATGTGAAGCCTCCGTAGTCCTTAGTCCTGGCATCTAGACCTGTTTCTGTTCCATGCCATTTCCTGTGTGTGAAGACCTGCTCAGGAGATGGAAGCACTGGCTGCCCCTCCTTTGCATCTGCGGCCCCAAACCTCATGGCAGCGTCTCCAGCCCTCTCTGCCTGTCGAGGCCCCTCAGCCATTTCTTTCATTCTGCTTCTGCCACTCTTCACAGATGAGTAGTGTGTGATGACAGTGGGTCGTATCTTCTGAGACTGTTCTCACCATAACTGTAAAGACACCTACAGGAATCATTCTCTCATTGATGCTCAGTCCTACATGGGGTGCCTGTTCTGTTTTTCCAGGCCTTAGCCCAGAAATACAAGTACTGCATGTCCTCACTATATATGGAATCTAAACCAGTAAAACTAAAGGCAGCGAAGAGTAGAGTGTTGGTTACCAAAGGTTGGGGGCTGAAGGGAAGAGGGAGAAGTCAGTCACAGGGTGAAATCATTAGGAGTAAAGGATGTGTTTTTGAGAAGACTTGTATGGTAATAAGCTTGTTTCCATCAATCCACATTGTATGCGTATAACAGGATATCAGTTTATTTCCTGTAAATATATATATAATTTGTCAATATAGAATATATTTTTAAAAAAATCTTATTTGGCCCGGGTGCGGTGGCTCATGCCTGTAATCCCAGCACTTTCAGAGGCCAAGGCGGGTGGATCATGAGGTCAGGAGTTGGAGACCAGCCTAACCAACATGGTGAAACCCCATCTCTACTAAAAATACTAAAATTAGCTGGGCTTGGTGGAGCGCGCCTGTAATCCCAGCTATTCAGGAGGCAGAGGCAGGAAATCGCTTGAACCCAGGAGGCAGAGGTTGCAGTGAGCCAAGATCGCAGCACTGCACTCCAGCCTGGGCAACAGAATGAGACTCTGTCTAAAAAAAAAAAAAAAAAATTATATTCCAGTTATTGTTATCTGTGCTGGTTCTGAAATAGAAATCCTTCTTTCTCTCAAGAGAAAACTGTTTATTATTCTAGTCATTTTTTTTTTTTTACGTTTCCACATATGGCATTAAACAAGAGCATTTTATGTGTGCAGTGATTCCCCTCAATTCATTTTACTGTGGGCTGCTAGAATATCTTATTAGTTGATTTTCATAAAATTAACACATTATGGTTTTCAGCATGTATTATGAAATATAACCGTCATGTACCACTTATTAATGTTGCAAAATGCCTGCTCTGTGTGGATATAGTTATGTAACAGGTATTTAAAACAGTATTTTTTCTGACATAATTTTATTGAATATTCATTTTCCTAGTGCTGTTTCTGTTTTGCAATTCAAAATTGCCGCTTCTTAATTATGTTTCTATGAGCTCTTTGCCATTACAGTTTATTATGTTGTGCTTTCGTATTTTTTGTACGTAATGAATATGCTTTAAACGAATATGCTTTATTTTTCTTCCATTGAGATAGCCATATGTTTTTGGCCAATTGGTATGTGCCTGAGGCCATGGTGGAGAAATAATCCTTTGATGGCTAACATAGAATTGCACAGTGTGAGTGTTTTGGTCATAGGTAGTCTGAATCTAGGCTGATCTAATTATTATTATTTTTTTTGAGACATCTGACTGCCTCTAAGGCAGTAGTACAGTGGTGCAGTGGTGCAGTCATAGCTCACTGTAACCTTCAACTCCTAGGCTAAGGCAATCCTCATGCCTCAGCCTCTTGAGTATCCAGAACTACAGGCACATGCTGGTATGCCGAGCTAATTTTTTTTTTTTTTTTTTTTGAGAAGGACTCTCCGGCCGGGCGCGGTGGCTCACGCCTGTAATCCCAGCACTTTGGGAGGCTGAGGAGGGTGGATCACAAGGTCAAGAGATCGAGACCATCCTGGTCAACATGGTGAAACCCCGTCTCTACTAAAAATACAAAAATTAGCTGGGCATGGTGGCGCGTGCCTGTAGTCCCGGCTACTCAGGAGGCTGAGGCAGGAGAATTGCCTGAACCCAGGAGGCGGAGGTTGCAGTGAGCCGAGATCGCACCATTGCACTCCAGCCTGGGTAACAAGAGCGAAACTCCGTCTCAAAAAAAAAAAAAAAAAAAAGAGAAGGACTCTCCATCTGTTGCCCAGGCTGGAGTGCAGTGACATGATCTCGACTCACTGTAACCCCCCCTTTCTGGGTTCAAGCGATTCTCCTGCCTCAGCCTCCTGAGAAGCCAGGACTACAGCACACGCCATCACACCCGGCTAATTTTTATATTTTAGTAGGGTTAGGGTTAGGGTTAGGGGAGGTGAGGAGATGGGGTTTCACCATATTGGCCAGGATGATCTCAATTTCCCAACCTTGTGATCCACCTGCCTCAGGCTCCCAAAATGCTAGGATTACAGGCGTGAGCCACCATGCCTGGCTTAATTTTTAAATTATTTTGTTTTTGTAGAGATGGGGTCTTGCCGTGCTGCCCAGGCTGGACTCAAACTCATGGCCTCCTGTGATCCTTCCACCTTAGGCTCCCAAAGCATTGGGATTATAGGCATCAGCCACAACACACAGCCCTTCCGAAATACTTGAATTACACGTAACAGCATTTTCTGTGTTAAAAAATACTATCTTTTTGTTCCTAAAAATTGAAATTCACGGTTATGAAGTTCCAAAGTCTGTTCAGTGTAAGTGTTACTTTTGGTGGAATGTGTTTTCAATGTAAAATGTTTGTTTATGTACTGTAATTAATTGGAAATGTGTGGTTCTTTATCTGTTATAGATATCCCTCCTAAATGTATAATCAAGGATCTACTACCAAAAGAGCAGAGCAGTACAGAAGCAGCATTCCACACAGCGATGCTGGAAAGACGTGGAAGCCCTGACATCAAAGACTTCTCCTTTAAGGAACTCCAGAAAAACATACATGACTTTGAGTGTCAATGGGGAGATGACACAGAAAATCACAAGGGAGTGCTTATGACCCAGAAAGAAGGGAAAAGAGATCAACACAGTAGAAGTGACATAGAAAACAAGCTTCTTAACAGTCAGCTGGAAGTAAGCTTTCATTCACATCTGCCTGAACTGCAGCTGTTTGAAGGTGAAGGGAAAATGTATGAATGTAATCAAGTTGAGAAGTCTGCCAACAATGGTTCCTCAGTGTCACCACTTCAGCAAATCCCTTCTAGTGTCCAAACCAACAGGTCTAAAAAATATAATGAACTTAACCATTTTTCATTACTCACTCAAAGACGAAAAGCAAACAATTGTGGAAAACCTTACAAATGTAATGAATGTGGCAAGGCATTCACCCAGAATTCAAACCTTACAAGTCATAGGAGAATTCATAGTGGAGAAAAGCCTTACAAATGCAGTGAGTGTGGCAAAACCTTTACTGTTCGTTCAAACCTAACTATTCATCAGGTAATCCATACTGGAGAGAAACCTTACAAATGTCATGAGTGCGGCAAGGTCTTCAGGCACAATTCATACCTTGCAACTCATCGGCGAATTCATACTGGAGAGAAACCTTACAAGTGTAATGAGTGTGGAAAAGCCTTTAGAGGACATTCAAACCTAACTACCCATCAGTTAATCCATACTGGAGAAAAACCGTTCAAATGTAATGAATGTGGCAAGCTCTTCACTCAGAATTCACACCTTATAAGTCATTGGAGAATTCACACTGGAGAGAAACCTTACAAGTGCAATGAGTGCGGTAAAGCTTTTAGTGTTCGTTCAAGCCTAGCTATTCATCAGACAATCCACACTGGAGAAAAACCTTACAAATGTAATGAGTGTGGCAAAGTCTTTAGGTACAATTCTTACCTTGGAAGGCATCGGAGAGTTCATACTGGTGAGAAACCTTACAAGTGTAATGAATGTGGCAAAGCCTTTAGTATGCATTCAAACCTAGCTACCCATCAGGTCATTCATACTGGAACAAAACCTTTCAAATGTAATGAATGCAGCAAGGTTTTCACTCAGAATTCACAACTTGCAAATCATCGAAGAATTCATACTGGAGAGAAACCTTACAAGTGTAATGAGTGTGGGAAAGCCTTCAGTGTTCGTTCAAGCCTAACTACCCATCAGGCAATCCATTCTGGAGAGAAACCTTACAAATGTATTGAATGTGGCAAGAGCTTCACTCAGAAATCACACCTTAGAAGTCATCGGGGAATTCATTCCGGAGAGAAACCTTACAAGTGTAGTGAATGTGGTAAAGTCTTTGCTCAAACGTCACAACTTGCACGGCATTGGAGAGTTCATACTGGAGAAAAGCCTTACAAGTGTAATGACTGTGGCAGAGCCTTTAGTGATCGTTCGAGCCTAACTTTTCATCAGGCAATACATACTGGAGAGAAACCTTACAAGTGTCATGAATGTGGCAAGGTTTTTAGGCACAATTCGTACCTTGCAACTCATCGGCGAATTCATACTGGAGAGAAACCTTACAAGTGTAATGAGTGTGGCAAAGCCTTTAGTATGCATTCAAACCTAACTACCCATAAGGTCATCCATACTGGAGAGAAGCCTTACAAATGTAACGAATGTGGCAAGGTCTTCACTCAGAATTCACACCTTGCAAATCATCAAAGGACTCACACTGGAGAGAAACCTTACCGATGCAATGAGTGTGGGAAAGCCTTCAGTGTTCGTTCAAGCCTAACCACCCATCAGGCAATTCATACCGGAAAAAAACCTTACAAATGTAATGAATGTGGCAAGGTCTTCACTCAAAATGCGCACCTGGCCAATCACCGAAGAATTCATACTGGGGAGAAACCTTACAGGTGTACAGAGTGTGGGAAAGCCTTTAGGGTACGGTCAAGTCTGACTACCCATATGGCAATCCACACTGGAGAAAAACGTTACAAATGTAACGAGTGTGGCAAGGTCTTCAGGCAGAGTTCAAATCTTGCAAGTCATCACAGAATGCACACTGGAGAAAAACCTTACAAATGAGTGTGGCAAGGCCACTCGTTACCGTTCACTTCAGGTCGGTTAATTCATTCTTGAGAGAATCCTTAAAAATGCAGTGATGGTGGCCAGCCCTCATGGGTTTAAGCATTAACAGATATGAGAGGCCAGAATAAAGAGGCATCATGTACACATATGTGGCAGAGGGTTTATCCAGGCCTCACAGGTTACTAGGCGTCAAAATATATGTCTTCGATGAAACCAAACACATGTAATGTGCATCCAGTGACTAACTGGCCAGTACCCAGTGACTAACGGTAAGTGAGGATTCCTTTTAGGAATAACTGTCTCTGGTTTCCCTGTTTGCCTTGATGTTATACACTGTAGAATACTTACAAGTCCAAATACGCTAAAAATTATATATTTTTAACTCATATATGAAAAGGTTGCAGGATATTTGTAGGCAGTCAGTTACCTTCAGCTTATAAGATGTTGTATTGAATTATTTAAGTTTTTTTTTTTTTTTTAAAAAAACTATTGAGTTTCGGTGTGAACTTTGAAATCTGTTATTGTGCATCCTTACCCACCTTCCATGGTGTTTTTTTTGGAAAAATCATTGGGATAGAAGCACTCACTTAATTGGGGGAAGGATTATTGCTATCCAGTTTGTGAAGGAGGAGGGACTTTGCTTTTAAAATTAAATATTGTCTGAATTAGCGTTTGGGAGTGGTGAAAAACAGTGTAAAACTATGATGTCACTCACCATTCTGATTATGTCCAGGGTGCCGTTCTCCTACCAGGAGAGTACTGTGGTTTAGAGGAAAGAAATGGTCTATCAGCTGAACGTGAAATGGAGCAGGCCAACACCCTAGGACTTTTGTGGGAGGAGGGTAATAGGGGATTAGAGACTGTGTGGTAGAAATAATGCAGGAGAAAACGTCGCCCCTTATCCATTAAAGAGCAATACCTGTTGTTTAGCAAAGAGTGATGAAAAATTAGTCTTGTTTTTGAAATTGAAGAGAGAGGCCGGGCGTGGTGGCTTACGCCTATAATTCCAGCACTTTGGGAGGCTGAGATGGGTGGATCACCTGAGGCCAGGAGTTTGAGACCAGCCTGACCAACATGGAGAAACCCCGTCTCTACTAAAAATACAAAATTAGCCAGGTGTGGTGGCGCATGCCTGTAATCCCAGCTATTTGGGAGGCTGCAGCAGGAGAATCGCTTGAACCCAGGAGGTGGAGGTAGTGGTGAGCCGAGATTGCGCGATTGCACTCCAGCCTGGGCAACAAAAGCGAAACTCTTGTCTTAAAAGAAATTAAAGAGAGAGAAGTTGTCAGAGTCAAGAGTTTAATCAACAGAACTAGAGTAACATATTCTTCAGTAGAACTCACATTATCTTCTTGAAGTACATTTTGCTAATGTTTTATTCAGAATGTATCATAGGTATGTTTTAACTAATAAAATGGAATTGGTTTTTCTCTATGAATGAATCACATTCTTTCTACCAACATAGTTGTATCCTGTCTCAGTAGGATACTTCATAACAGAATAACAATGTACTGCTAGTCTCTTAAAGGATCAAGAACAATTTTTTTTAATGGTGAAATCAAATAACACAGTTTTGGAAACCTGTAACCGCACTTTGTGCTTAAATTATGTGTCCCACACTGTGGCTTAGGATACTTATTGGAGTTTAAAAGAAAAATCCTACTGAAAGTTAATTTCACATTGTCACACCCCAAAATCTGCATTGCCGTTGATGCATATGCACCATATTATATTTCCATGTCAGTTTCTTGTGTGCCAAGTAAGACCCATGCTATGCAACTTGGTGTCCATGAAGTGAAAATACATAGCAAAAATCTGAAAAATATGAAATAGGCCAGGCACAGTGACTTATGCCTGTAATCCCATTGTTTTGGGAGACCAAGGCAAGTGGATCACCTGGGGTCAGAAGTTGGACACCAGCCTGGCCAGCATGGTGAAATCACATCTCTACTAAAAATATGAAATTAGCTGGGCTTAGTGGCACATGCTTGTAGTCCTAGCTACTCTGGAGGCTGAGGCAGGAGAATCGCTTGAACCTGGGAGGCAGAGGTTGCAGTGAGCCAAGATCACACCATTACACTCCAGCCTGGGCAATAAGAGTGAAACTCAGCCTCAAAAAAAAAAAAAAAAAAAAAAAAGAAATATGAAATAAAGTTGGCTGGGTGTGGTGACTCACGCCTGTAATCCCAGCACTTCGGGAGGCCAAGGCAGGTGGATCACCTGAGGTCAGGAGCTCAAGACCAGTCTGGCCAACATGGTGAAACCCTGTCTCTACTAAAAATACAAAAATTTTCCCAGCATGGTGGCAGGCGCCTGTAATCCCAGCTATTTGGGGGATTGAGGCAGGAGAATTGCTTGAACCTGGGAGGTGGAGGTTGCAGTGAGCCAAAACTGCACCATTGCACTCCAGCCTGGGCAACAAGAGCAAAACTCCTTCTCCAAATAAAGATATAAAAATAAAAAAAGTTGTGGAGAACAAAGATAAAACCTCCTTTATGATGTTCTTGGATTATTGATGTAATTTGAAAAGATTAATGTTCATGAGTTTTCTTCAAGAGTGAGTATAGAAAATGGGAATTTTATTTTGCTCTGGTAGATAAACTAGGAACATGTATGTTTGCTTATCATACATGCATGACCCTCCCATAAACCATTAGTATATTTACTTAATATTGAACATATTGCTATTAAGCATAAATTCCTGCCTCAGCTTTCCTCCTCTGAACTGCCTGTGTTGTTTCTGGCTGAAACTGTGCTTCCCAGCCTGCTGGATGGCTAGCCTGCTGGCTGCAACCCTTTGTAAGAAATAAAGGTCTCCTTGCTAAAGTTAGACATTTTGTAGCCTTTTTGGTCAACACTGGTAAGGGTTTCTTGGTGGACACTCTGCAGCATCCTGAAGCAACATAGCACATCACATTGTGAGAGGGCTGAGTATACTGTTTGCTCAGATCTCTCTTCTTATTCCTATAAAAACCATCACTTCTGCTCCCGTGATAACAGTCCCTTAATCTGTGCATGGATTGATTCATTCATGACAGCTGAACTCTCATGATCGAATGACCTCTTAAAGGCCCCACCTCTCAATATGGCCACATTGGGGATCAAATTTCCAAATGAGTTTTGTTGGGGATATTCAAACCAGAGGAATATTTTTTTTTTCAATTTCCATGTATTAATTGCTAGTATATAGAAATAAAGTAGATTTTTGTATGTTGATTTTGTAGTCTATTTCCTTAAAATCTCACTCATTCTCCAGACTTTTTAGATTTCTTAGGCTTTTCTACATAAACCATTTTATAAATTTCCCATTGCTGCTGCGACCATCACCACAAAGTGAGTGGCTTAAAACAACAAAGATTTGGCCGGGCGTGATGACTCATGCCTGTAATCCCATCACTTTGGGCGGGTGGATCACTTGAGGTCAGGAGTTCGAAACTAGCCTGTCCAACATGGTGAAACCCTGTCTCTACTAAAAATACAAAATTAGCCGGGCATGGTGGTGCATGCCTGTAATCCCAGCTACTCAGGAGGCTGACGCAGGAGAATCCCTTGAACCTGGGAGGTGGAGGTTGTAGTGAGCCAAGATCGTGCCACTGCACTCCAGCCTGGGCAACAAGAGCAAAACTCTATCTCAAAAAAAAAAAAAAAAAAAAAAAAAAAAAAAAAAAAAAGATTTTTGCTGTCAGTGTGTGGTGGTCAGAAGTCAAACAGGTTTATAGAACTATCATCCTTCTTGAATCTCTAGGGGAGAGTTGATTTCTTTACCCTTGCCAGGTTCCAGAGGCCACTTACATCCTCTACCCCTGGGCTACTTCCTCCATTTTCACAGTCAGAAGGCAGCGTCATAGAATCTCTTTGTCTCTTTGCTGTGCAAGCGTTGCCAATTCTCTGTGATTCTACCTCCACCTGTATTTTTCCTATATGGACTCTAGTGATTATACTGCTTTAACCAAATAATCCTGGATATTCTACCATCTCAAGATCCTCAACCAGATCACATCTGCAAACTCTGCTTTGAGAGACCATGTAATACAGGTTCGAGGGCTATTGAAAAGGAAATCCTTTGTATCTTTTCGGGTGGAGGTCATTAGCTTACCACAACCATCATGTCCTGTGCTCATGGGTACACTGTTATGCATTCCTTTTTGGTCTCTATTATTTTTCTTATTTCACTGTTAGTAGTAGTAGTCTTTTCTAGATGGGGTCTTGCTTTGTTTCCCAGGCTGGAGTGCAGTGGTGCAGTCAAGAGCTTACTGCCGCCTTGAAGACTTGGGCTCAAGGGGTCCTCCTGCCTCAGCCTTCCAAAGTGCTGAGATTACAGGCATAAGCCACCTCGCCCAGCCACCAGCCAATTTTCAATTTTTTTTGTAGAGATGGGGTCTATCTTGCCCACGGTGATCTCAAAATCCTGGACTCAAGCAATTCTTCTGCCTCAGCTTCCCAAAGTGCTGGTATTACAGATGTGAGCCACTACACCCAGCCAAGGATTGCTAACACTATGTGCAATAGAAGTGGTAAGAGTGTACATCTTTGCCTTGTCCCCAACCTTTGGAAGGAATCTTTCACTTTTTGACCATGATGTATGATGTTTGCTATAAGGTTTTGTAGGTACTCTAGGAAGTTTTCCAACATACTGTTTTCCATAGTGGGTGTACCATTTACATTCTCACTACCAAGTGTAGGAGGATTACAAACCCTCCTTGCCTGTGAAGGAGGTTCACTTCACCCTGGTTACCAAATTGACTCCAGTGAGACAGAACCCATGCACACAAGATCAGTAAAGTGAGTTAACTATTGCAGGCAACAAGGGCAGTAGAAGCCTAGGATTGATTCACTGCAAGCTGGTCTCCCAAGGCTCAAGAAAACTGCTTGGGGAAGATGGAGTCTCATCTACTTGTGTCCCACTGGCACTGAAGCTGAGGGACCCCAGAAAGCAGCCCACCCTAGGTTTTATGGCACATGGCCTCGTGATGACCTTTGCTAAAGCACTGAAAGACATCCTGTCCTTTGAAAGCAGGGGAAAGGAGGCTCTGGAATGGAGCCCACGCTGCTTTGGCCAGTTTCTTCATATTTCAGAGTGTTACATTCCCAATACATCCTGAAGTTATTCAGAACTAAAGTGAGAAAGGGGATAAAAATAGTTTAAGGTTGTTCCTTTAATGTGTGCACTCCACGGTACCTTACTTCTACAAAACGAAAAGACAGCTCTGGAAGCCTTATCAAATTTGCTGTCTCCACATTGTCTGTTGGAACTTTCACGTGTCAACAATATCAAGTGAATTAAGAAGAGAATCGATGGGGGAAAACAGTGGGGGAAAAATGGTCACTAAGAAAAAAGGCGAATAAAGAAAGCATTCGTGGGCCAGGCACGGTGACTCACACATGTAATCTCAGCACTTTGGGAGGCCAAGGAAGGTGGATCCCTTGAGATCAGGAGTTCAAGACCAGCCTGGCCAACATGGTGAAACCCCCATCTCCAATAAAAATACAAAAAAAAATTAGCCAGGTGTGGTGGTGCACGCCTGTGATCCCAGCTACTCGGGAGACTGAGGCAAGAGAATCGCTTGAACCTGGGAGACAGAGATAAGAAGTGATTGGGTCATCAGGGCTCTGCCCTCATGAGTGAATCCATTCATGAATTAATGAATTAATGGGTTAATGACCAATAGATTATCACTGGAGTGGGACTGGTGGATTTATAATAAGAGAGAGACTTAAGCCATTACCTACAGCCCTCTGGCCATATGAGGCCATGTGCCCACCCCTCAAGACTGTAGAGGGTTGCCACCAGGAAGGAGGCTCTCACCAAATGCATCCCCTGGTTCTTAGACTTTCTCAGCCTCTAGAACTGTGCAAAGTATCTTTCCATCAAAATTACCTGGTTTCAGGTATTCTTTTAATCAACAGAAAATGGACTATGGAACGGGGTGACAATGTTAAAGTATATTCTTAACGTATAATTCTGGAAAATAGCAAATATTAAAGAACCCATCACAACCCTTTGTGTTATTGAAAAGAGCTTACTGCAAAGAACCATGTTTTCCAGTGAGGCGTCCTCAAGTCTAATGAGAATATTCTTGTTTACATAGAAAAAAGCCAGATACGCCGGGCGTGGTGGCTCACACCTGTAATCCCAGCACTTTGGGAGGCTGAGGGAGGCAGATCACGAGGTCAGGAATTCGAGACCAGCCTGGCCAACATAGCGAAACACCATCTCTACTAAAAATATTACATATTAGCAAGGAGTGATGGTGGGCTCCCATCATCCCAGCTAGTCGGGAGGCTGAGACAGGAGAATCGCTTGAACCCAGGAGGCAAGGTTGCAGTGAGCTGAGATTGTGTCACTGCACTCCAACCTGGGCGACAGAGCAAGAGTCCGTCTCAGGAAAGAAAAAAAAAAATGGAAAGGAGGATCCTTTGGACAATAGCATTACGTGTCACATTCCTTCCTTCCGGGCAGAGTTTTGCATTTCACAGTCTAGTTTGCATCCCCTTCACAGATACTTTCAGAGCTTTTAAAGTAAATTACTTGAATTAAATTGATTTGCAGGAACTTTCTCAGATCCAATCACCTTTCCTCCTGGATCCCCCACGGAATTCCCAGTTCCCAGACCGCTGAGCTGCAGGAAACTCCCTAGCAGAATCCAGTCCAACCCGCTGGCAAAAATAGTTTTGAGATAAGCCGTTTTCGTCTTGGTAAGAGGAAAACATTTTCCTTTCCAACACAAGGGGCCCCCACAACACTAAGCTTTTACCTTAAAACTGCACAGGCCCCGCCCCGGGCACTGCCCCCGGCCCCGCCCCGGGCTACCTGGCTCCTCTGCGCGCATGCGCAGTTTCCTGCAGTCCCGGAAGCAGGTCGCGGTGTGGGCAGGTGACGCCGACGAGCGTGAGTGTACCTCTGTGTAGCTTAAACCTTCGATTCGCCGTCCCCGTTTCCACACCTCGGTGCCCGGGTGTCTCTGCTGACCTTAAAGTCCCCACACCTCCACCCCAGGTAAATACAGACCTCGCCGTGTAGGGGAGTCTCCGTCTGAGACTGGTCCCTGTCCCCGGCGTTTCGCGTCTCCTCCCTTTCCCGTCCCCTCCTCCCACCCTGCGCTTTTTAAAGTCGTCCCGCCCTGGGCGACCCCCAGCCTCGCCCTGGCGGGCCCCTGGAGCGCAGCGCGCAGCGCCGGTCCCGGGGAGGCGCGTCCTCTGCCTGGTCCTGGGCTCCTGCAGACCCCACCCCTGTCGGAAGGCGCCGTCGCCCCCCACCTCCCTCCTCCTCAAGCCGGGGCCTGCCCTGTGACACCGGTCTTCTGGCCTGCCCAGCTCCACCCCCTGGAAAATGCGCCTCTCTAGGATGCAGGCGCCTTACTCCAAACCCGCCTGTGAATGTGTGGGCCGAGGGGATCGGGGGACAGAGAGAGACAGGAAAGAATGAGAGAAACCTATAAACACATGGCAGAGCAGAGGGTGGGTCGGGATTTGCAAAGAGACTGGAAGAGTGAAAGGAGGAGCCGGGCGCGGTGGCTCACGCCTGTGATCCCAGCACTTTGGGAGGCCGAGGCGGGTGGATCACTTGAGATTAGGAGTTCGACACCAGCCTCCCCAACATGGTGAAACCGCGTTTCTACCGAAAAGTTATCCGGGTGTGGTGCTGCACGCCTGTAATCTCAGCTACTCGGAGGCTGAGGCAGGAGAATCGCTTGATCTCGGGAGGAGGAGGTTACAGTGTGTTGAGATCTCACCATTGCACTCCAGCCTGGGTGACAGAGCAAGACTCCGTCTCAAAAAAAATTTTTTTTTAATTAAAAAATAATAAAAATATATTTCTCTTAATTTTCTTCTTGCCTCCCTGATCACTTTACACTTTTCTCTTCTAGTATATCTTGAGCTCCGTTCTCTGAATGTGGAGTGACTCTCAGCTTACCCCTTGGACTTCTGGTATCTGTCCACACCCACTGCCCTTCCTCGTCATCTCATCTCATGGCTTTAACCCCGCCTGCAGGGCTCCATGTTCCCTGTAGACCTTTCCCCTGAACACTGGAATCCTGGGTCCAGTTGCCTCCTCGACTCTCCTCTGGGAGTCCAGCAGGCATCTCCACTTTCATGTGTTCAGAAGTGACTGAGCTTCCCAGACACATTCCCCGTGCAATCCTGCACATCTCAGATGAGGGCGACTCTGGATTTCAGGTGACTTAGCTGAACATGTCAACATGTATTAAAATTAGTAAATAATGACATCATTAGTGTGTTAATTTATGAGAGAAAGAAAAAGGTACAAAACAGGTAAGGTAATAAGTCATTTCTAGATTCTTTTGAGGTGTGGGGAAAAAAATGTTTGAAGACCTCCCCCATGCCTGATCTGGGTCCCTGGGGCCTCTCTGACCTCATCTCCTGCCTGTGTCCTCGCTCCCTCGGCTGCAGCCACGCAGGCCTCTTTCCTGTTCCTGGGGCCAAGGTTGCTCCTGCCTCAAGGCCTTCACGTGGGCTGTGTCTCTGCTGGAACTCGCTGGCCCCTCAGCTGCAGGTGCAGACACGCCTCCTTCCCCGGTGTCTGTTCTGATATCACCTTCTCAGTGGGGATTTTTTCCACGGAATGTGTCTCATGAGCTTGAATTTTGTATACATTTGTACATAATTTATTTGATCCTTTTTTTTTTTTTTTTTTTTTTGAGATGGAGTCTCACTCTGTCCCCCAGGCTGGACTGCAATGGTGCTATATCAGCTCACTGCAGCCTCCGCCTCCTAGCTTCAAGCGATTCTCCTGCCTCAGCCTCCCGAGTAGCTTGGGATTACAGGTGCATGCCACTATGCCCGGCTACTTTTTGTATTTTTAGTAGAGACGGGGTTTCACCATGTTGGCCAGGATGGTCTTGATCTCCTGACCTCAGGTGATCCACCCGCCTCAGCCTCCCACAGTGCTGGGATTACAGGCGTAAGCCACCGCACCCAGCCTGGTTGCTACGTTTATCTCTTCTCCCAGGACCTCTCTGACATCATCTCCTGCCTGTGTCCTCCTTGTTTCCCCTCCTCCCGCCATGCAGGCCTCTTTCCTTTCTCTGACACTAAGGTTGCCCTTGCCTAAGGGCCTCTGCTGGTGCTGTCCTAGAACTCTCTGGCCCCTCAGCTGCAAGTGTGAACTTGCTTCCTTCCCCAGGTTGCTCCTGCCTCAGGACCTTCATTTGGGCTTTCCTTCTGCCTAGGACTCTCTGGCCTCTCAACTGCAGGGGAAAAAAACCCTTCCTTACAGGGGACTTCTTCTTAGAGGGGACTTCTGTGGTCTCCCACCCCAATTCACCACTCCAGCCACACTGTCACCCCTACCTCTGGGTTCATTTTGGCTGCTGTGGATGTTTCTTTCCCCTCCTTTGCTGTCTACTGTTTTGATCCTGATGACAAGGCCAAAGAGGGCGAGCAGAGCCAGAAGGCGTGGGGTGTGCTGGGCTTGCCCCCTCTGGGCAGAACCCAACCCTGGCTTCACATTATAGTACTGGGACATTTTGCAGGTACCCCTCTGGTGCCCCCTTACCTGAAGTCTTCATTCAAATACATTGGGGCCTGTCCTTAATCATATCTAAAGGTGAGTCCACGTGCATTCAGCATTGAGCTCCAAGGCTCTGCAATTTGTTTCTGAAGGCTGAGATCAGCCTGGGATTCACAGAGAGGGGAGGGGACTGCATGGGGTTTGGTTAGTTAGCATGGGATCTGTGACCTGAAGGGGAGCTCAGTCCATCCCAGCCCCCCACTGCTGCAGCGTGTGTGTGCGCCTCTCCAAAAGGGGAGTGGGTTCTGAAGAAAGGGGCCAGAAACTCACTTGTTGGTCTTCCTGTAGGAATCTGTGTCCCATCTGGTGCAGTGACTTGCAGAGGACTGGCTGTCCACAGCGAGACCTTCCCTGGACCAGCCTGAGCAACATGGTGAAACCCCGTCTCTACTAAAAATACAAAAATTAGTTGGGTGTGATGGTGTACACCTGTAGCCCTAGCTACTCAGGAGGCTGAGGCAGGAGAATCGCTTGAAGCTGGGATGCAGAGGTTGCAGGGAGCCAAGATCATGGCATTGCACTCCAGCCTGGGTAACAGGGAGATGTCGTCTCAAAAAAAAAAAAAAAAATGAAGGTGTTGAGTCTAGTCATTAAACAGCATATTTTGGACATTCAGGATTGACTTCTCAAGGCTTTTTCCTGTTACCCAAGAAAGATGCCTGGGAAAGGAGGAAGAGAAAGAAAAGGAAACAGGGATCGCTCTTACTCAGGCAAAGTAATATTATCAATTGATTTTTATTTCTCTTATTTCTGAAATTGTTATGGGCGGGGAATCCATATCCATATAGGTCTGCACCAATCTCAATTCCTGCCTCCTCAGAAGAAAAAAATTCAACTGAGGAGCACAAGGCAGAAGGAGAGTCTGAGGCAAGTTTTAGAGCAGAAATGGCCAGGCATAGTGGCTCACACCTGTCAACCCAGTGCGTTGGTAGGCTGAGGTGGGCGTATCGCTTGAGTCCTGCAGTTCGAAACCAACCTGGGCAGCATGGCAAAACCCCATCTCTACAAAAAAGACAAAAATTAGCCAGGTGTGGTGGTGCATGTCTGTAGTCCCAGCTACTTGGGAGGCTGAGGCAGGAGAATCCTTTGATCCTGGGATGCAGAGGTTAGCAGTGAGCCAAGATGATGCCATTGCACTCTAGTCTGGGTGACAGAGCAACGCCTTGTCTCCAAAAAAAAAAAAAAAAAAAAAAAAGCTTTACAGCAGAAACGAAGGACAGTACACTTGGAAGATTGCCAAGTGGGCAACTTGAAAGGCAAGTGTGCAGTTTGGCCTTTTGACTTGGGGTTTTATATGTTGGTATATTTCATGGGTCTTGCTTCCCTGATTCTTCCCTTGGGGTGGGCTGTCCTCATTCGCATGCTTGAGCCCACACGCTCACCTCCTGATTTCATGGGAAGCAGCTGATCACCAGTTTCAGGTGTTTTCTATCTATGAGGAGCCTGCCTTTCCTTGGTGCCGGCTGTGACTATTATTTTAGAGAGACAGTTAGCAACCACCTGACCATCACCTAATGGTGGCCTGACATTCCTGATGTGTGTGTATGGGGAGGGGGAGTCCTCTCCTGCCCTGCCCTACTCATACCAGAAGAGCTGCCTACTGTAACAAAATGACAGCATCCTGCCTCACATGCTTGCTCACTCACCCATGTCATCCATCAGTCCCTCTCATCTCACTTAGATTCCATGACGCATGACCTAATGACATGAACGTGAGAAAGGGTGCTTGGAAAGGGTTAATACCCAGGCATGGATTGGAAATGGGGTGTGCCCCCCTAATATTATGTTCAGGACTTTTTCACCAATATTTTCAGGGATGTTAGTCTATAGTTTTGTTTTCTTTTTCCTTTTTAGTTTTAGACAGAGTCTTGCTCTGTCACCCAGCTGAAGTGCAATGGTGCGATCTTGGCTCACTGCAACCTCTGCCACCCCAGTTTAAGCGATTTCTCTGCCTCAGCCTCCCGAGTAGCTGGGACTACAGGTGCATGCCGCCACACTGGCTAATTTTTTGTATCTTTAGTACAGACAGAGTTTCATCATGTTGGCCAGACTGGTCTCGAACTCCTGACCTTGTCATCTGTCCACCTTGGCCTCCCAAAGTGCTGGGATTACAGGCATGAGCCACTGCTCCTGTATAGTTTTGTTTTCTTATCATATATTTGTGTGGGTTGTATGCTGGGCAGCAGGGATTGTTTAGGGACCACATCTGGATGCATGCCACCTCTTTGTAGAACAGGATTCAAGAGGCTGACCATGAAGTCATATGTTACTGTGCACAAATTCCTGCTAAATGCTTTAAAATGAGAACACTAAGGGGAAGGCTTTCCTGCCTCATTTATATTATATTTGAAACTTTACGAGTGAGTCACTGTGTTTCTGACTTCATATTCTTTTTTTTTTTTTTTTTTTTTTTTTGACACCAAGTCTCGCTCTGTCACCAGACCGGATTGCAGTGGCGCGATCTTGGCTCACTGCATGCTCCACCTCTCAGGTTCAAGTGATTCCCCTGCCTCAGCCTCCCAAGTAGCTGGGATTACAGGCGTGCACCACCATGCCCAGCCAATTTTTTGTATTTTAGTAGAGACTGGGTTTCACCATATTGGCCAGGCTGGTCTTGAACTCCTGACCTCATGATATGCCCGCCTCACCTCCCAAAGTGCTGGAATTACAGGCGTGAGCCACCATGCTTGGCCTTTATTAGGAGATTTTTAAAAAAGTTTTCAGTGACTGTTTTGATGTGATATTTTAACTTGCAAGTTTTGAAAATTTTCGTTTTTGTGTTGGGAAACAGAAGCTTGCTCTTCTACACCCTGGCTGGAGCATTCTCTCTTGATGCACAGTTTTTCACTTGGATGTAGTTCCATTCATCTGTTTTTGGTTTTCTGCCAGTGCTTTTGGTATTATATCCAAGAAATCATTGCCAAATCTAATGTTCTCTTATTTTCTTCTCTTCCTAGTTTGTTGTTTGTTTTTTTGTCTTTATCATGAACTGTATTGAATTTTGGCAGATACTTTTCTGCATGAGTTGAGGTGATCATGTGATTTTTGTCCTTCACTCTATCAGTGTGTTATCTTTCTTCTCTTAAACCATCCTTATCATCCCATTTGGTCATGGTCCCTATTAATGTGCTATACAATTTAGTTTCCCAATACTGATATTATGTTGAGGACTTTTTCATCAATATTTTCAGGGATATTGGTCTATAGTTTTGCTGTCATGTATTTGTGAGTGTGTTGTATGCTAGTAATGCTGGTGTCATTGAAGGAATTTTTTTTGTGTGTTTTCTCTGTAGTTATTTGGAATTGAGAAGGATTGGTGTTAATTCTTCATTAAATGTTCAGTGGAGGCCAGGCATGATGTCTCACGCCTGTAATCCAAGCACTTTGGAGGCTAAGGCAGGCGGATCATCTGAGATCGGGAGTTCAAGACCAGCCTGACCAACATGGTGAAACCCCATCTTTAAAAAAAAAAATGTTCAGTAGAATTATGCAATGATTACAAATTATGTGTCTATACCTGGTCTTTTTTGTTGGGATTTTTTTTTTTTTTTTTTTCAATTTACTTGGGACATTTTGATTACTACTTCAGTGTTATTATTTGTAGTCATGTACAGATTTTTCTAATTTATTTTTTATTCAGTCATGGTAAGTTGTATATTTCTTTCTTTTTTTTTTTTCTTGGAGATGGAGTC